TTTACCTCCAGGGAAACTGTCATGTCCAGCCCATCGCCAGTCGGGATAGCCCATCCCAAGGGTTGGAATTCGATGGTCTTCAAGGTCTCTTCCAACCCAAACCATTCCACAACTCCCCGAAGAATGAGAGCTCCCACCGTGCCTGGTGGGTTTGTGGGATTCTTCTTCCCCACAAAGGCTCCATCCGCAGGGATCCCAGCTGGATCCTGGCCAGCTGATCCCACCTTTCCGATCCCTTTTCTCAGGACACAGCTCCCATTTCTTTGCCGTGACATCCATGGATGTTCTCCCTCCTTGAGGAGCGTAATTTGAATTTTATTCTCCTTTTTCTCCATAAATAAACGTGGAGAGGACACTTGGAGCAGCATTCCAGAGCCGATGAATCCCAGTGCCTTTTGGCATCCCCATAAATTTGGCTGAGAAGCTGAAATTTCTCGATGGAATTTTGCTGGGGATGGGATTTTTGGGAGACTGAGGGAGTTTTGCAGAGGGGTTGCTGAGGCAGTTCCTGCTTGGTCGTGGCTCTTCCCCACAGCCCCTTTAACCTCTCAGCCTTAAAGGATTTGGGATCGAAAGCACGGCAAGGCCTTAAAGGGTTTGGGATTGAAAGCAAGGCCTTGGAGAATTTGGGATCGAAAGAAAGGCCTTAAAGGGTTTAGGATTGAAAACAAGGCCCTGGAGGGTTTGGGATTGAAAACAAGGTCTTAAAGGATTCGGTATCAAAATCTCCCATGCCATGTTGGGGTTTTGTAGGAAAGTTTCTTGATCGTGGAGATTTTTGAGTTGTGGGGAAATGCAGATCTTGGTCTTGATTTTATTCTGAACTTGACTAGAAATGCTGGAGTTTCTCATAATCCTTTTTTTAAAAAAAATGTGGAAAAATCAGGGGCAGGGACAGCCCTTGAAGGTGCATCATGACATGACCCAAGGATCTGAAATTATCCTTCCGCTTTTTCCAGAAGGTTTTTTTGAGAATCTTTTGAATTTCGATGCAAATTGAAATTTTGCCTTCGGCAAAGGCGCATCATTCCTTTCAGCCTGGAGGCTCCAGCTCCCATTCCCAGCCTCCAGCTGGAGGCTGGAGCGTTCACGAGAGCCTGGATTCCTCCAGGATGGAGCCTTCCACGCGCTCCATTTCCCAGAGAAAAAAGGGGAGCAAAGGAATCAGTTCTTTGCTGTGTGCAAAGGCCGAACCTTTTATGAACAGATCCCAGACTGTCTGGGCAGGAGTGGGATTTTTTTGAATTTTCTTTCCCTTTGTGTGGTGCCTTTCCAACGTTTTTTGCTGTGTTTTCCCTTTGTTCATACTCCCAGTACCAGGTGGCCTCTTGCCCATGGACCACCTCCAGAAATGTCCCGGTTCACAAGCCCGCTGGAGCATGGGAATGGGCTCCGGAGAGGGGCAGACAGACATCCAGGACAATGTGGTGATGGGGAAGGGCTGGGACAAACACAGCCTGGTCTTTGGAAATGTGGGAAGAATTAGGATTGATCCAGGCTGAGATGTTGCTTTGGGTGATTCCCGACGTGTCCTGTCGGCCAAACCTCCGGCAGGTGCCAAATTGGTTCCTGAAAACCTTTCCAGGCTCTTCCCACCTCACTTTGGTCAGGCCAGCGGCTCTAGGCTGGATGGGATGCAGGTGGCTGATCCCAAAATTTAAGTTTTCCTCCTGGAAGGGAGGAACGGAAAGCTCCGTTCCCTCTTTTGGGAGGATGTGCCAGGTGGGAGCGAGGGGCCTGCAGATCATGGATGGCAAAAGGCAGGGAATGGTGCTGGTGCTTGGAGTGGGAAAGAGAAAGCCATGGAAAACGTGGTCCCATGCATGGAATCACTGCTGGAGCTCACAGAATTCCCCCAAATTCCCTCTCCTTGGCTGTGGTTTAAGGATGGGGCTGGGGCGTTCTCCAGCTGGGACTGGGGGCACTTTGCTGTCACACGGAGCTGAAGCACTGGGAGGACATTTTCTGCCTTTGGAAAACCAGGAATCCTTAAATATCCTTTTTTCCATGTGAGGTGGAGTTCCCAGGTTCCAGCCAGGCTCGCTGGGTGGTGGGGTCTCCATCGCTGTGGGTGTGCGGTGGAAATGGACGCCCTTAGATGAAGCAAATCCCCAGATTTGGCTCTTTTGGGACATATCCCGATGTGGAAAAACCGGGGGCTCTTCCCAGCATCCCCAAAATGTCCCAGCACTGTCGTGAGCCCTTGTGAGCCTGGTGAGATGCCACCAGAGCCGGGCTGTGGCATCTCAGGGTTAACAAAGCTGAGCTTACAGATGATTTTGCCTCTTGGCAGCCCTGGAACAACTTTTTTTAATTTTTTTTATTTAATTTTTTTTTTTTTTTTTTTTTTGCCTTGATTCTCCTCGGCTTTGCCTGGATTCACTCCTGGAGCAGCCGAGCCTCTCGGCTCGACTTCACTAGAGGGCGCAGGAATTTTAGGCTAGGAACGCGCCGGGGTTCATCGGGGAAAGTTGGCTGCCTTCTCCTCCTTTTTAATCAACTGGAAAGATGCAGGGTTGAACTGGAGGTGACTGGAAGGGGATCCAGACTTGTGTCTGGCCGGGGAAGGATCTGCTGACATGTGGGATTAGGTGGTGCGAGCGCGGCGGCGGCGGCGGCCGGGACGGAGCAGCGCGGCCGGGGCTCGGGACGTGGTTGGGAGCTCCAGGGAGCAGCCAGCTGGAGGAGCCTCCTGGCACCAGGAGAGCTCCGAAAATTGCAGAGGAAAGGGAAAAAAAAAATTCCCCCTCACCCCCCAGCGTTTAATGCTCCCCCTTGTCCGGCTGGGCAGGTCTGCGTTGATCCCACAGGGGTTCGGTTTTGTCTTCCAAAGGATCCCCAAGTCTGTTCACGGCAATCCTTAGGACAGGATCTTTCCTTTTGGGAGCCTGGCTTGATCCAGGGGTGTGGATCCAGCCCCCCACACCACAGCAGCTGTTTTGGGGCCAGAGGCACGTCTGGGACTGTGTCTGTTCTTCAGGGAGCAGGGGGACCGCGAGTGCTTCTCCTGTGGGAAGAACGAGGCCAGGAGCCCCCAAAGGCTGCCTCCGTTGGGATGGTGGCTCCAAGCAGGGATGTGACCCGGTGCTCCTAAAGCAGAGGTTGTCCCCTCATTGGCCCTGCTTCCAGCCGGGGAAACTGAGGCATGGGAAGTGTTTCGGGACGTTCGCTGGGAGCCTCTGTCCTTGTTCCGACCTCCTCAGCATGGATGAAGGGCAGGTGAGAGCAGGATGGGGAGACAGCAGTGTCCCTTTGGTGGTCCTGTCCATCCCTGTGGAAGAGCTCCTGGATCCTGGCTCTGCATCAAACCCCAGAGTCCTGCTCAGGCACGAAGGAACCGTCCCTTCCCAGCTCCCTTCCCACCTTCCCCGCTCCCTTCCCACCTTCCCCACGCAGCTGAGGGTCTCGGCTTTACCCCCTCCAGCTTTTCCTGCCCGAGCAGCTGCTTTTTCCAGCAGAAAATGCCTGAAGGTCGCTGCCTTTCCAGGCTCCAAAGCGGCTCTGGATGCAGGCGGGCCCATGGCCTGGCCGCTCCCTGCTGTTCATTCATTCATTCATTGATTCCTCCTCTCATTCATTCATGCCTCGGCTCCATGCGGCCATCCAGGGATGGCTCCCTGTCCCCAGGCTGATCTGCTTGGGTTCTCTTCCCTATCCACCCTCTCCATCCCGGGATTTCCACGGGGAGCTCCACCATGTCCCGAGCTTGACTCGGGGCTCAACCTGGGGCGTCGTGAAGCGGCTCTTGTGGAGCCTCCGGAGCCTCCTGCCCGGAGCTGCGAGGGGACAGGGGTGTTTTTTCACCAAACAAACTCCCAGGGAACGCCGGGCATTAGCAATGAGGGGTCGCAGCCAGGAAAATATTACCTTTCCCTTGGAGTGCTGACTGCGGAGGAAATTCTCACATTTACAGCTCCGGCGAGCCCGGCGCTCATGGAAAAGAGGGGGCGGCTTTGATTTCTCTCCTCTCGGTGGGTTGATAACTTGGCAGCCCCCCCACCTCGCCTCCATTCCCGCCGGGAAGCGGCCACCGGTGGAGGCTCCGGCGCTCGGCTCCCTCCTTGGAATCCTGCTTTAATTGGATTTTCCTGGAGGCCTGCGGTGCGTGTGCGTCCTGCCCCGTGCGTGTGTGTAGGTTAATAAAAAATAAACAAACAGCACTTTCCTCCCTTTCTCGGGGAGGGATGCGGCGGGAATGCCGAATGAAAGCGCTGCTGTGCCGGGAAGGGACATTCCTGGCATTGCTGAGCTCCACGAGCGGGCCCGGGCCCAAATTGGAGGAAAAAATTGGAGTAAGGAGCCGTTAGCGTGGGGGACCTGGGGAGGCCCAGTCCTGCTCACTGTTTACTCGCAGAGCTTAAATTAACGCTGGCTGCTGACATCAGGAATTTTTTTTTTTTCCCTGGTTTCCCAAGGAAATGAGCCGAGGGCGATCGTGGCCTCTGCGTACGTGCAGAGGCTCTTCCCTGCTTGAACCCCTGTCGGAGTTCAGCCAGATTCCACAGAGATCCTAAAGGCTCCAAAATAATTATTTTGCTTCATTTTACATCCATTAAAATAAAAAAAAAAAAAAAGGAAAAAAAAAAAAAAAAAAAAAGGTGCGAGGAATTGTCGGTGCTTCCCATTGGGAGAGTTGTGTTTTCCCATGGTGTTTGCCTGTCTTGGACACCGGAGAATCCCTGTGGAAAAGGTGCATTAGTGCCATCCAAACCATGGGATGAACCTGAGATCCAGTGGACGTGGAAAGCCGGCTCTGTCCCTCCTGCCACACGTGGGATGAAGGAATTCCTCCCATCCCAGGTTTGCTCCGTTACTCTTTGTGACGGTCATGGTGGGAATCTCGGGAAGAACCGGTGTTTCTGGCAGATTTTTTAGGAATTGGTGATTCTGGATGAAGAATCGGGAATGGTGACAACTCCCCGTAGGACACGTGGTGACCTTGGAGAAGGCCGAGCGTGTCGGGGCCGTGGAAAAAAACCTCTCCTTGTTGTTCCTTGTAGGTTTTCTCCAAGATTTTCAGCCATGAGGCTCTGGAGAGTTATCTCCCCAAGATCCAGCTGGTGATCAAGGACACCCTGCGGGCCTGGAGCAGCAACCCCGAGTCCATCAACGTGTACCACGAGGCGCAGAAGCTCACGTTCCGCATGGCCATCCGCGTCCTGCTGGGCTTCCGCATCCCGGACGAGGAGCTCGGCCGCCTCTTCGAGGTCTACCAGCAGTTTGTGGAGAACGTCTTCTCCTTGCCCGTGGATCTGCCCTTCAGCGGCTACAGGAGGGTGAGATTTGGGTTGGGTTCTCTGCCCTGATAGCACCAATTAGTTAATGGGCGGTGGTTAATCAGCACCTTTCCCAGTTCTCACTGGGATTTCTCATCCTCTGACCTCAATTAGGCCATTTTGGGCCACCATTCCTGATTTAGTGGAGAAGACGGAGGAAAATCCATTCCTTGGTGATTGGAGTGGTTTGATAACAGAAAATAGTCAGGACTTGCCCAGATTTAATTCATATTTTCCCTCATTTTGGCAATTTTTTCGTACTTTTTTTAGTTTGTGGGATCCTTCTCCTTTTATTTCCCTGGAGTGAAGCAGGTCTTTGTAATTCCCAAAACTAAAACAGGCCCTTCTAATTCCTGGAGTATTCCAGGTTTTTTTGATGAACGATGCAAAATGAAAACATAACAAAAAATAGACATAAAATTGTCTTCTTTTCCATGGGGAATTTTGATAACAGAAATACAAGGGGTGAAAATGTATTTCTGTGATATCCCTGCAAATCTTTTTTATTGCTACCTGCCCATGGGAATGATTCCAACCCCTCGGAGTCCGGAATCATTCCCAGCAGCAGGTTTTCCCCGAGCAGCTGCATTCCCGTAGGAATTGCTTTACTGGGACCAGGTGATCAAATTGCTTGGGAAGAGGATTCTTTGGGATGAATGGGCTTTCCTTTGAGAGACAATTTTTCCCAGGGATTTCCATACATCCCAGGAGGAGCTGGGGGCTGTGAAACGGTGCCGGACAGGGGCTCTCAGCCCAGACCCGTCATTTACACCTAGGTGTTGATTACTCTGCCTGTGATCTCCCCCACTCCGGCTTTACTCCTCCTGCCCAGGGGACACCTCCAACATCTTCACACCCCTCTTTGAGCCTCTGCTTTTATGGCTTGGACCTGTCCCGAGCACGTCTGCAGCTCCTGGGACGGGCAGAGCGCTGCTACTGGTGGGGTCTGACGGCTTCCTGCTCCACAGGGAATCCGGGCTCGGGAGACGCTGCAGAAGGGGCTGGAAAAAGCCATCCAGGAGAAGCTGCAGAACACGCAGGGCAAGGACTACGCCGACGCCCTGGACATCCTGATCGAGAGCGGGAAGGAGCACGGCAAGGAGCTGACCATGCAGGAGCTGAAGGTAAAGCTCTGCCCTGGGGCCACCTTGCCATTGTTCTGCTCAGGGTGGGGCCTTCCCCAAGGGAAAAGTTTGGGATGCTCCAAGGAGGAATTTTTGGGGCAGACCTGAGATGAGCAGTGAGAGATGGGGGACCACGGTGTGTTGGTGGATTCTGGTGTGGTGGATCCAAACCAGTTGTTTCATTTATTTGCTGGTCATGCCCAGCCTTTTCTGCAGAGCATTCCATGGAATCATTAAGCTTGGATAAGTCCTCCAAGATCATCAAGTCCAACCTCCATCCCCACCAAACCATACCAGAAAATCCCACATCCACTTGGTTTTCAAATGCTTTCAGGGATGGTGACTCCATCACTGTACCAGACAGCCTCTTCCAACGCTTGGCCCCTATTCCAGGAAAGAAATTTTTCCTGATATCCAACCTGAACCTCCCTGTTCACGAGGGAAGTTTTGATCAGCTACATCCCTTGACCCTTCCACCTTTCCTGGTGCCTCCTTTGCTCCTCCAGGAGCCCCTCAGCAGGATTTTATCCACAGCTGGGTCACAGCACACCAGGAGACATCTCCTGGGTGTTTTCCTTGGAGGTTCTGTGTGAAGCTCCTTGTGGTGGCTGTCCAAGGAGTGACCTTCCAGTTAAACGTGACCAAGCTGTGGCTGCCCCATCCCGGGAAGTGTCCAAGGCCATTAACAATGGACACAAACTCTGCCTGGATTTCCCTCATCCCTCCTGGTGGGTGGGAAATCACCCAGGAGAATCCATCCCCTTTCAACATCTCCCTTTGTAGGCCACATTCCATTTTTCCCTCTCCCAGCTTTGGGATGTGATCCTTCCTCAGGTCACTCGGCCCCTTTGGATCTTAAATTTTTGGAGCAGCTCTTTTGGGGAGAAGCTGTGTTTGCTCCACCCCTGGGAGTGTCCATGGCCAGGTTGGACAGAGCTTGGAGAAACCTGGGATAGCGGGAGGTGTCCCTAGGCTTGGAACAAGGAGATCTTTAACTTCCATCCAACCCAAACCATTCCATGAATCCGAGGCCTGGCTGGAAATCTGGGAGAAGAACACCCCACGGCACCTTGACGTGCTGGGGCTGGTGGCCCCTCCATCCCACCCCTGCCTCTCACCCTGGCTCTTCTCCTGTCCCCCAGGACGGCACCCTGGAGCTCATCTTCGCCGCCTACGCCACCACGGCCAGCGCCAGCACCTCCCTGATCATGCAGCTCCTCAAACACCCGCGGGTGCTGGAGAAGCTGCGGGAGGAGCTGCGGAGCAAAGGGATCCTCCACAACGGCTGCATCTGCGAGGGCTCTCTGCGCCTGGACAACATCAACGGCCTCCAGTACCTGGACTGCGTCATCAAGGAGGTGCTCCGGCTCTTCACCCCCATCTCCGGAGGGTACCGCACGGTGCTGCAGACCTTCGAGCTGGACGTGAGTAGTGCTGCACCCTGAGCTCCCCAAAACGGCCCAGCTCGCTTGAGCCTGGCTTAGAGGAGACCTCCGTGGGGATAAACCAAGTCCTGACTAATTAAGTCCTCCCAGGCAGCCGGTGGCAGGACAAAGGGACGCAGCCTTAAGCTGAACCAGGGAAGTTTAGGCTGGATATTAGGGGGAAAAATTCTTCCCAGGAAGAGCGGCTGGGAGTTGGAATGGGGTGCCCAGTGGGATGGTGGAGTCACCATCCCCAGAGGGGTTTAGGCCTGGATGTGGCACTCGGTGCCACGGTTTAGTGGACGAGGTGGTGTGAAGCCACAGCTTGGACTTGACGATCTCAAAGGCTTTTCCAGCCTAATTAATTCTGTGATTCTGGCCATGGGATTTGCTCCAGATCCAGCAGTGATGCGACGTGGAGCAAGGGATGTGCTGGAGCTGCCAAAGAGCAGACGGGTGTGATGCTTCAAAGCCCAGCTCATGACAGTGACGCCAAATTCTGAGCTGGGGTGTGACAGGGGAAAGGTTTACGGCAAAGGGCATCTCCAGGCTGCCGGATGACAGGCGGATTAGTCACCACCATGGCTGGAATTTCCTCCCAGCAAAACAAAATCTCAGGAGCTGCCTTGTCACTGTAAATCCTCCTAATGCAGCGGTTTGAGTCAGAGACCTTTTAAAGTGCTCAGGGGATGATAAATCCACCCCATTTCTCATCGCCCGGGCCCCGACGTGGGTGTTGGGTGTGTGGTGCTGACAGGCAGCGGGGTGTGGGATGCTGTGGGATCCTCTGGGATCCTCTGGGATGCTCTGGGAAGGGCTGGCTGATGTGTGGGGCACGGCACGGGAGAAGCTGCTTCCCCTGCTCAGCACCACGGGGTTCCTGGTAGGCAGCTGCTGCCAGTGACCACAAAGCAAACAAATGGATGGAGCATCCCACGAATCCTTGGGATAGAGGGAGGAATAAAGCCAGGATTCGCATCTCTTTGTGCTGTGCTGTCTGGTTTTCCTCTAAAATCTGCATCACGCTTGAGGGATAAACCCAAAAGAAATGGGAATAAGCAAGGAAAACTGTGAGGGTGGCCTGGCACGGATTGCCCAGGGATTGTGGATGCCACATCCCTGGAAGTGTCCAAGGTTGGATGGGGCTTGGAGCATCCTGGGGCAGTGGAAGATGTCCCTGCCCGTGGCAGGGTGTGGGACAGGATGAGTTTAGGGTCCCTCCCCACCCCAACCATTCCATGATTCCGTGGAAACAGAATTCCTTTATCTTGTCCCCCTGCTCCCTCTCCCTCTCCAGCAGGATTGACCCACTCTGCCCTTCTCTCCACCCCTTCCCACCTCTCCGCAGGGTTTCCAAATCCCCAAGGGCTGGAGCGTGATGTACAGCATCCGGGACACCCATGACACCGCTCCCGTCTTCAAGGACGTGGACGTCTTCGATCCCGACCGCTTCGGGCAGGGCCGGAGCGAAGACAAGGACGGCAGGTTCCACTACCTCCCCTTCGGAGGAGGCGTACGGACCTGTCTGGGGAAGCACCTGGCCAAGCTTTTCCTCAAGGCTCTGGCCATCGAGCTGGCCAGCACCAGCCGCTTCGAGCTCGCCACCAGGACTTTCCCCAAAATCACCCTGGTGCCCGTGGTCCACCCGGTTGACGGACTCAAGGTCAAATTCTTCGGACTGGATTCCAACCAGAACGAGATCCTGACGGGCACAGACGCCATGCTGGGGGCCACCGTGTAGAGCCCGCGCCGGTGGCACCAGGGATGGGCGGCCGGGGGATGCAGGGGTGGGGTGGGGGAGAGGGGATGGACAGGAGGGGAGGAGAGAGGGATGAGGAGCTTCTCCACGGCGCTCACCTCCGCATCGGGACTGCTTTTCCAGCAGGGAAGCTGCCGAAAGCGTTTTGCTCTTCCCGCGGGACACGGAGAAGGTCGGGGCGGCGTCGTCTTGTTTTGTTGGGAAGGAGGAAGATCCACAAAAGCCGAGTCGAGCTGGGATGGCTGACCATACACAGTATCTAAATATTATAAATATATATATATAAATATCTATAAAACACTTCTGCTGCCAGGAGGAGAAGGCCCGACTGCGGGAAAGGCTTGGGAATCAGCCGAGGATCTGAGGTCTGGTGTCCCGGGGCAGCTCTGGGGTGACCTCTGACCTTTTTTAATTAACAGTGTTAAATTAGCTGGTGATAACAGTGTTTTTATGTTTTTTGAGGTGGTTTTTTTTTTTGGTTTTGGTTTTTTTTTTTCATTTGTTTGGTTGTGTTGTTTGTTCTGGAGCGTTGGAGCCTTTCCTTGGCTGGGGGGAGACAAGGCTGCCCATTCCCAGCCCCTCTCCCGCTGGTGCCGGGGCAGGCTGGAGAGGAGGAGGGGTCGTTTTGCTTCCCAAAAAAACCCCTCCTGTGGTGTCTTGTGATCCCCAAGGCCTCAGGAGAGGCAGATTTGCATTTTCCGAGATGTTTTGGGGCTCTGGGGAGAGGGGGATGCCCCTTTTTTTTTTCCTCTCGTTGAGTTTCCTGCTGCTGCTACACGGCCTGTGAGCACCCCCCTCCACCCAGCCCCAGGCAAAGGCACCCCAAAGGCTTTGGGGACATTTCGGTGCCTTTGCTGTCCCCTCAAGGTGCTGGCACCAGCCCCCGAGCCCCAGCACGGCTGCGGGGGCACCAGGGCAGCTCCTGCCAGAGGCATTCGCATTAAAGGTGATCTCTCGAATTAACGCGCGCGTTTGTTTGTCTCGTGTTTGGGGTTTTTTGGCAACGGGAGAGCTCAGCAGGAAGGAGAGGGTTCCGTGTCAGCTTCCAGCCCGCATCCCAGAAGAATTCCAGAGCCTCTCCAGCATGAGCCAGCAGCCACCGAGAGGTATCTTGCCTTCCGTTTGCTGGGGGGAGTGGGGTTATTTTATTTTGGTTTTTTGCATGCAAGAGGCTTCTGGGTTGAGTTGGAGATTTTGGGGTTGTGCTGGGAGGGTGTGGAGCAAAAGCCTCCCGAGCAGCTGGGCAGGTGTTGGGTTCAAACCAGAGCCGAACACCAGCTTGGGAGATCCATCTGTGGCTCGGGACAGCTCTTCCAGCCCATCCAGCCCCGCTCCTGTCCCATCCCAACCCTCCAAGGTGGAACGGACAACGCTGAGAGTGGCGACGGGAACCGATCTGGAGCCCGGGGGCGCAGCTTGGCTTTCAGCTCCGAAGGGGTCCAGAGAAGTCCGAGGGCTTGGAACAGGGAAGGAGAAGGGGCAGGTGTGGCTCACCAGGTGGCTTTGCAGGTTGTGCTTTTGCCTCTTTGGCAAGAGGCGCCTCTTGGGAAGGTCGCAGGAAGTGTGAAGCGAGCGGAGGCGAGGCCGCCTTGGCCGGCGCGGCGCTGGCGGGGGCAAGGAGGAGGGAGGCAGGTTTGGAGCCAAGGGAAGCACTTGAGGTTGGAATGCCGTTAGCCAAGCTGCCAAAAATCCCCCCCGGAGCATCCCAGGGGATGGCGGTCCCTCCCACTGGGGTGCACAGCTTGATCCAAGCTGTAATAAAACTCCCGCTCTTCTGGGATTCCCAATTCCCATTCCAATCCCAGCCTTGTTTCCGGGTGGTGACCAACGTGCCAAACCCCAAAGGAAGGTCTCAGGAGCCCTGGAGCATAGGCTCAGAGTTTCCCAGCCTGGAATTTTTACATGGAACGCCGGTAGCTGTGGCCCTGTTGGGATTGCAGGTGTTTCCTCGTCCCTGATGGAGAGAAATAGTTCCCAGTGATAAAAGGAGCTTGGTGGAAATGCAAATCCCAAAGGGCGAACACGAGCCTGGATGTGGCTGGAAGGGGGAGTCTCCCAGGGATGAACATTCGGGGACAGAGAGGTGTCCGCGGTTTTTGTCGGATTTGGGAATGGGGATGGAAGGTGGGTGAGCTGTGGGGTGAGAACTCTCCAGGAGCCCCCATTTCCATCTGGGATCTGTGCTTGGGGATGAGGCGGCTGGGAAAGGGAAGAGCTGGAGAGGGGGATGGACAACCAGGATAGGAGGTCTGGTTCAAGCTAAATCCCTTGGATAGATGAGCAAAATCTTGGATACTTCCTGGAAGGGTTCAGTCCCTCTTTTCACGGGGAATCAGGGAAGGGTTTTTCCCTGACATTTTCATTTTAACTTCCAATGTTGTTCCAAAGTGAGAACCAAACCTGCTCTGGAGTGAGTTTTGATGGGAATGGGAGCTGAAGCCGTCCCTGAAATTCCATTTACATCCCGTGGATATACAGTGTTTGTGTGGGGGAGTATTTAATCCAGGCTGAAGTAAGCCAGGCTTTGTTGTTCCAGTCCTAACTAATATAACTTGACTAAAAAAATAAAGTTGCTGCAGTGGGTTTGCAGAATAAAGCACTTTGAATCTCAGATTTATTTTGTTGTTTTTTTTTTTTTTTTTAATTAGCACAGTCCAATTTGCTATAATATTATTTTATACACAAAATTTTTTTTTTTTTGGTCTGTCTTTATAAACTATTATAAGTGCTATTTTTGTTATAATTCAAAAATAGATATTTAGGATAAAGTTGTGCTGTTAAATATTTGTTATTTAGTAAAAATATGATTTTTTTTTTTCCTCTTTATTGTAAACGTCGTCTGGGAAAAAAAATATTAATGTTTTATCCTATTTGTTTTTAATATTAAAAAAAAAAAAGAAAAAAGCACTTGTGGGGTTTTTCCGTTGGGGAATTGGTGCCATGTGAGGTTGTGTTGCAGTCATGTGGGTTTTAATATGTACAGAATATTCTGTGTCCCATATTAAAATGAATGTTGTGTATTTTGTGATCCCAAAATAAAAACAAACGAACCAAAAAAAACCCAACAACCCATCCCTGTGGCTTCTTTCTAGAATTCGGGAATAAAAAGTGTTGGAACTCCCAAGTTTGGGTTTCGTATTCCAGCTTCCTTTGAAGGCCTTGTGGCCTCCGGGCTTGGGGTTTTGGGGAGAACCACCCCGGGAATTGGGGCATCCAGTGGGATTTTGGCTCCCAGCTCCACAGCCAAATGGTTGATATGGACCCAAATTTTCTTCTATATAGAAGAAATAATAAAAATTATTTTTAATTTTATTAAAAATAAAATAAATGATGGGGACAATCGTCAAGTTGATGAATCAAGATATCCAGAGACTGGGAATCTCTGTCCCTGGAGACTGGACATGGTGCTCAGCCACCTGTCCAAAGGGAATCCCGGCTGGAAGCGACCCCAGTACAGGAAATTCCACTTCAAAATGCAATAAAAAACATAATATTAAATATTTCTGTGGGGAGGATGGTCAAGTGTTGGATCAAGATGTCCCAAGATTTGGAGTCTCCATCTCTGGAAACTGGACATGGTCCTGAGGACCCAGACCAAGGTGAACCCTGGCTGATACGAATTCAAACACAGGGAATTCATAAAATAAAATTAAAAAAAAAATAGAATAGAATAGAATAGAATAGAATAAAATAAAATAAAATAAAATAAAATAAAATAAAATAAAATAAAATAAAAATATAATCTTTTTATGGGGAGGATTGTCAAAATCTGGATCAAGTGGGAGAGGTTTGGATTCTCTATCCCTGGAGAATGGACATGGACCTGAGCCACCTGTCCAAGTTGAACCCTGGCTGATATAGAACCAAATAAAGGAAATTCCATAAAAAATAAAATAAAATAAAATAAAATAAAATAAAATAAAATAAAATAAAATAAAATAATCCTGGGGTGACTTTATGATACTGGTATCCCCAATGGCCTGGTTTATGTTATATATTAAGTTCTGCACCTTTAAGACTGACTAAAATAAAATAAAGTAAAATAAAATAAAATGAAATAAAATTAGATTTTCATGGCCAAGTGTTGAATTAAGTGAGGTCAGTTTGGAGACTCCATCCCTGAAGATTGGACATGGACCTGAGCAGGGTGCCACAACTCCGAGGTCCCAATCCTGAGGTTTTTCCAGGACAGCCCGTTTCTGCCCAGAGCTTTTTTTCTCTTCCCAGGAAGAGAAAGGAGGAAAGGGAAGGCAAATATTCCAGTTGTGTGTGTATGTGTGTGTGTGTGTGTGTGTCCTGGTCCTTGCTGCCGTTTTCTCCAGGAATTGCTCCCTATGGAATTGCCACAGGAGACCACCGCGGGTAGAAGAACCAACACCCAACTGCGGGGTGCCTGGGAAGGTGGGCAGGACACGATTCCCGGGGCAGGAGACACTTCCAGAGGCACAGTTCCCAAGGTGGGAATGACCCGGTGATGAGCAGCAGGCAGGGTGGGAGCAGCCAGGGGTGTCCTCACCCTCCCACCACCTCTCATTTGGGTTCCAGAGGGACCGACTCCACCTCCTCAGCAAATCCTGGAGTTTTCTGGGAGCTGGGACCGCTCCGAGCTCTTTAAACCATCAACGTCTCGGGAAGTTCTGGCCCTGGCTGCTGGGAGAAGAGCTTTGGATGAGATGTGCCAGGACAAGCTGCTGGTGGGAGCCGCAGCTGCAGCTGCTCCGGAGTGGAGACGGGGCGGGCTGGGAGCGCTTAGGGTAATTAGGCAATTAGTGAAGTAATTGGCTTCTGTCTCCTTCCTCTCTTCCCCATAAATAGAGCCCTGATGGAGCCCTGGCCGTGGTGGGAGCGCTGCAGAACAGGATGTTGCTTCCAGCGATGACATCCAAAGGCGAGTGAGGGCTGCGGGAATGAGCAGAGCTTTGGCTGGAAAATGTGACCGTGAAACCCAAGCCCGGGTCCCTTCGGAGCAGCCAGAGGCTCCGAGGCTCCTTTCCCTC